AACATGCCACAAAGCAGGCCGACCACTAGCCAGCCCCAGGCGAGCTGCAAAGGGGCGAATCCCGCCGTGTAGTAACGGGGCGTCATGCCGCCACACGTCAATGCCGCATGCGCCAGGCTTTCGCGGCACGTGGGCGGCAGGGAAGCTGCAAATTGTAATGACGAGCCAGCCACCGAATAGCCATGCCAGCACCACTGTCCGATGGTTGTAAGCATGGGCCATACCATGGCGGGGGGGGAAGTTTTCTATGGATCTAGCGTAAAAGCCAGCAAGGTCTTGAGCCCTGAGCGTCACCTGCCGCGAGCGGCTTGGAGGTGAGCGAGCGGCTCGCGGCCGAAAGCTCGCCGAGGTGAACGAGTGCTTCCCGCGGCGTCCCGATCGCCCGGGAAGCGTTTCGGAGGAGCATAAGCCACTCTCCCCGGCGGAAGGCCTCCGCGCGGCGCTCGAGTTCGCGGGGCTCGATGCGGGACTGGCCCGGCTCACGGTGGAGGAGCATGCGGGGTGCGAGAAAGAAAAGTTTCCAACCTCGCACGACGGCATCAGGGCTCCGTTCCTCGACGGCTTGTTGGAGGCCCGTGCGGAGCGCAAGGCGGAGGACTCCCCGAAGTTGGCCGAGCCGCATTCCAGCACTTGCTGCATCGACGCGTGTTTCGGCAACAGTGCGGGGAGCGGGGGGCACAGGCGCCTCGGTCCGGCCGCTGACACCGACAGTGTTCGCGGACTGTGGCCGATCCCACGACCTGCATTATTTCTCGCGTAATGCTGGTGGGGCATGGAGTTAACGCAGGCGGACCCCGTCTCGGACGAGGTGCTGGGCTTCCGCATTCCGGCGGCCCCCCGACTTCTACGCCAAGCATGACCGGGCGCTGGGGACGATTTTGCAACAGCGGGGCTATCCCTTTTCGACTTTCTTGCCGACTCTGAACCCGGTGCTGCTGGCGAAGCGCCTGATTTGCACATGGTCTTGGCTGCTGCACGCTGGACTGCGGCCCCGGGGCCCAGTCCCTTGCCGGCGCGGGGTCGCTTAAGTCTCTGCGTTGCACTCTTCGAGTGGCCCTGCCGTAGTTTGCAGCATCCTGCACCACGACTTTTTTTTGCGACTCGTGGTCATAAGCTGCACAGGATTGACAGTCAGAGCAGTGCGAGAACTTTGAGCCCACTGAGACATTATGCTCTGCGGCACATGTGTCAGAAGGAGAAGCTTTATTGCGGAAACATTTAATTTTTCAGCCGGCCGTCATGTTATTCGCACATTAGGTGGGCATCAAGAAAGGAAGGGTGGGGGGAGGGGGTTAAGAGGGAACGTTTGACCATTCGGTTGGGCCCGCGGCGAATTCTGATCAAGTACGTCACGCCAGCAGCGACAAAGCGCCATAGTACCTTCAAAATAGCAATCGTCAACTTTGTGTTTAGGTAGGTTTCGGAGCTTTTCCGTACGGCTACAGGCTGGCACGTTTAGACAGGGAGCATGCTTGCAACAACGATCGTGGGCCAGTTCCACCACTTTGTGGCGATGTGCTGATGCCACGAGCAAAAGGGGTCATACGACGTCCTGCTGCACAAGCAAAGCAGAGGCCAGGCAAGGCTGGCATGCGTATGCGTTGTTGTCGGACGAACGTAATGGCGCCACCAAGGCCTGCTGCCGTCAGCAAGTGTTCGTCAATATCCTATGCACTGCCGCCTGCTGTGGTCGTGAATTTGAACCGCAGGCCAGGCCAGCGTACAGCATTGCATGGCAGCGTCTCCTGCCCGAGAGCTGTCCTTCCAGGGCCGACCGCTGGCGGGAAGTGCAGCAGCGATTGGATGGAATTGAAGGCATGCCTCATTGTTTCGCGGCATGTGCTTCCTGAGTTGGGTCGTTCGTGCGATGTGTTGAGTTTCGGCGCCGGGGTATGTCGGAGCCAGGTCTGATCTTTGACAGGATGGACGCTGTGGATGGCCAGAAAGACGAAATTAACACCCGCTGCTTAGCTAAACGCCTTCTGAATGTCAAGGTTGTATTGGCCATTCTTCGGAAATGGGAAATCAGAGGGAAGCAGATGGAAGCAGGCATGAACCAGTCAACATTTTGCATGCTTGTTCAAAAATGCCGTCTCAGGAGAAGTAACGAAAACATGGTGTACGGCAAAGAACTGGCATTATGTGACGAGGCTAGCAGTCTGTGTGCAAGGATTCACTCTTGGATGAGTTTGGGACGAGTGTGGGACTGCCGAGCCGACGTTTATCCGAGCGCGGCAAAGGAACTTGCCTTGGACAAAGGCAATGCGCATTGTTGGTAGCATCGGCAACAAATGTCCAGAATGGCGTAAGCCTCACCTCCACGCAGAACAAATGACCCACAACGGCAAGCTCAAGCTTCCAAGTCCCCTTGAGACTGTGTAGTTCAGGCCACGGAACCAGCAAGCGAAAATCCTGATTGACATAGTAACGGCCCAGGAGTGTAGTACACTGTAGAAACTTTCCGTTTGTCTTTCGCGTCCTGTTCCAACAGTGGATGTGTTCCCTGACTCCCCGGTTTGTGGTGATGAAAGAAATGGACAGAAAAGATTCTTTCGGTCAAGGAGCTTGGGGAGATGGAGAGATGCTCAGGCGGTGAAAGCCCATGGAAACAGGAAGCAAGCTTGAGACACAGAAAGAGAAAAGTGTCCCTTGTGTAAGCTGATGTTGTCGATCTTGTGTCCTTGTCCAGTGCAAATTAGGGCTTTCGAAGGAGGAGCAGAATGTGGTTACACGGTCAAGGACCGACCCAATTGCGAAATGCAGAGTGTCGTGTAGTGGCTGTCCACATGTTTCATTTCAACAATGCATCTCGACAGACAGATTCGAACAATTATTTCGCAGGAGTTATGCCTCAGCGAAGGAGAGCGTGGCTGCGCAGCATCGCATGTTCCCTGGTAGCAAGTCCAAGGGACGGACTACAGAACGTGTTCAGCATGACATGTGAGTGGAAGACAAGGTAAAAGCATGGAGGGCCTGTGCTGCCAGCAGAAAGCCGTTAATGGTGTTCGAGGCCTCGGTCGGGTATATGAGTGACTGCGCCAACTGGTGTGTTCAACTTTTTGTTTGTGCTTGGGGTTCACTGTGCTCTGCAGGCTGCTTTACAGCTTCGGTTTCAAGCTTAGGCAGGCTTCCCACTAGCACCGGACCTGAGGCAGTGTCCAAGCGACAACTTAGTATTTCAAAAACCTTCTTTTGGAAACTCTGGGAAGGATTCTGTGGATTTCTTTGTTGTTGACATGCTTGAGCTTGCTCTCACAAGCACTGCTGCTGTCGGCGGCACATTAACTACATGTACGAGTGGTGACTGGTGGTGCTGGAAGGATGATGCCAAACCAAGCTCCAAGTTTACCGCGGTCTTACGCTCTATGGCGGCACCGTGTAGTCAGCTGGTATTTGTTTGTGAGATGAGTTGTGTGCCTGAGGCCAAGCCATGCGCGATTTGCACGGCCAGGCTGGGACATGTCGTCTTTATTCACTCATGCGGAGCAGTCCTGGAGCAGTTGTTCTGCTTGCCCCGAACCCGCAATCAGGAGCCAGATATTCTGTATTTGGGTTATTCAAAGGCAGCACCATGGCGCCGCATTTTGGATTGACACAGCCAATTCAAAACCCAACACACGTACGATTTCATGGTTTAAGCCTGTCAGAATGTGTGCTTCTTGGTGTGCTCGACTTGTGCAGCGAAGGAAAAGTCAGTGCTGTAGTACGGGAAGCAGAGTATCTGTGGACAACAGTGGCCTATGTGTTGTGGCCCGCTGGTGCATCAGCTCTGTTGGGATCACTGCCTGGTGCCTGGGACGCACGTGCAGCGTGTAGATTGATGCCTAAGCCCCGGCCTCTATCCGAGGGTCAGGCCGCAAGATCTTTCGAGAAACTTGCAAAGACGGTCTGTGCTTGATTTGGACATTTGAAACATTCAGCAGCGCCCATGGGTGTAACATGTGACTGACAACTCGAAATATGTCGGTGCTCGTGGTGAGACGCTAAACCCTCTGTATCTCTTTGGAGATTTTGTGATGGTGTACTGTAAATGTCATATTTCCGGGTTCAGCTGCGAGCGTTGCATCCAACATGTTCAAGCAGCAAACTACACGCCCATGCTCTGACTATGACAGCTTCCGAGTACTGATTAGAGTAAGATGGTTGAAGTTGAAACTGCAGCTATCGGCAGCAGCCAGATGCTGCAACATGTCAAAATGCCTGTGGACATTTCCCTTGGAGCAAGATCACGTTGACGCGAAGCATGATCCGCGTCGTTTCCGATGTAGAGGGTTGCAGCCTGCTGACTCCTTGATTACAGCACCCCGCTACGGCTTTCTCCTCACCTCGCAAGGGCTCGAAGATCACGCGCTGCAGGTCTTCGTCACGAGATTCAAGCCGACTTAGGGTTGCCGTTTGCTCAACGTGGCAAAGGGACGCAGGAGTTCGCAGAAAGGTGCGGCAGGTAGCTTGAACATGAAATCAGCTCGTGGGTGCTTGCCTAAGTAACGACCAGACCGACTTTGTGATTCGCTTGTTCGCTGCGATCTGCTAAGTTAACCAGCCTGTGGACAATTTCATCGCTGAGCACTCGGCCGACAACAAATTGCGAGCATTTGCCACAGTCCCCAAGATAGCACCTCTTCTTTTTCTGACTGCCCGTTGCGGTGTCCTGTGTGTGCTGCTTATGGGTTATCGGGCATCCTGCACAATTTTGACGAGTGATGTGTCTCGTCGCCAAGGTAGGCCAAGCAAGACCTTGGAATGTCGAAAATGACGTCCTGCATTCCGACGATGTGGCAGCCCGGCGATCTTGCAAACACCTTGCGTGCTAGGCATGTGCAGCTTGACGTAGGCGGATGTGTGACCGGGCCAGCATGTTGTTATGTTGTTTAATGCACCATCTTGTGCCCGTGTGGAATAAGGCCTGGGTGCAAAACCAGCAGCTTGCTGGCGGGACAAAAGCTACTGAAAGTGTTGGGATTTGAAGGCAACAGGTGATGCTGTAAACAGAAGCAGTGTGAGTGAATCGTGCGTGAGCTCGCTGGCGCTCTTACCTTTCCGGCTCTTGCAGCACTCTTCAGACACGGAAGACAGCAAAAGCAAAGGGTGACCCTTTCGGGCAACACTTACGACATTAAGAGCACGTATTCCTGTTGAGCTGCACAGCTGACACCGTTGAAAGAAGAACACACGCAGCAAGAGTTGATGCACAGCTACATTCAACGCCTTTTGTAGGTGGTGTTTTCAAGAAGTTAAACACATCTTAGTTACAGTACCCCAGTTGCACAGAAGGTATGTGAGGGAGAGCGGGCTGCCGCTGCAGCCCTTTTTGCATTCGGACGTGGAGTTTGCCGCCGGATGCATGCGCACTTCTTGGAGGCCACGGCTCCATTTGCGATCCGGATTGCAGAATTTCAAGTGGATCAGTAAAGCACTAGTGAATCCGACCTCTGTTGTTGTGTCTTCAATCTCATCCGTTGCGAAAAACTGAATGCCATAAAATTGCTGCAGGATGCGTTGCTGCCCGCTTTCATTTTGGACGCGGAGCTCCGCATTACAGCTCCGTGCTAAGTCTGCCAGCATTGCCGTTGCAAAAGGTTGTTGCATGTGAAAACAACCTGTAGCACGTCAATGGTCATCCATTGTCAAGGGCATGCAAGGACTACATGCCTCGCGTCTTGTATTTCGTTGCGCTAAAGGCATGGAATACAGCGGCCGTTCAGGCACTCCGAAGTGCAGTGCAGTGAGTCCCAATGCTGGTGGATACTTACAACACAGCCAGCGGTCAAAGCACAGAGTTTGGCTTTACAGGCCACTTCCCTGGCAGTCGGAGAGGCATCAAACTTCGCTTTGTGGATGTTTTGCACCGGGAGGTGTTGTGAGGTTGTATCGCTAATGTTGCGTGTATCTGCTGCGCGAGGTCATTGGCAAATTCTTTGTTGACGTCTTGCTGGCGGAGGCCTTGACATAGCTGTTGGATGCAACAGTGCACGATGGCCAGCTCCTTGGGATGTGCCTGATGCCTGTCCTTCGGATTCAGAGGCAGACGCAAACGCTATTGAAGAGCTCCAGCTGGCCAAAACACTGCAGAGGCCGCGCATCTAAGAAGATAGGTTCAAGGATCTTATGTTGTGCCCGTAGCTGCAGCTGAAGTGGCGGATGTCGGCCCGAAGGTGCAGGAGTTGCGAAGTTGCAGTTGATCAGCCTGCGAGTCCAATGCAGACTTCCAGGCGCTTGCGCCCTTGGCGAAGCAATGCCGGTGCGGTTGCATCTTTCCTTGCATTGCCGGGTGAGCAGCCAGAGGAAGATTTGCGCACGGTTCCTACATCTTCGCCAGCTGCTCCTGCTTCATGCTTGTCCCCAAACTACGAAGACCTCCTTGGTGTCCTGCTCTCGTCTGCGAATGCTGCCGTGCTCACCCCTTCTCTTCGGATCGCTGGTTTCTCGTCTCAGATGCCCTTGCAGATCTCCGGGTACGTGCAGCTGGATATGGCAGACGAAGCAGATCAGCCTGGCAGTGTAACTGCCCTTGGAGAAGATCTCGAGCCTGTTCCGGAGGCTGAGGGCTCGAGCCTGGTGTGGGACAGAGGCGCTAGTGGCCCCGTCCACGTCGAACACCATGAGCATCAACAGTCTCCAGATCCTCCCATGCATCATGGTAATGATGACATGATGGTGGCCGACATAGGGCTTGCCATGATCTCTTCCGGACTGACAGTGATGCTTGCGATGATGGGTGCAGTCTGCGCCTTGCGGATTTGCCGTGAAATGTTGAGACGTCGTGGTAGCACCAACGCAGCAAACGTGGTGGAAAGCGGGGTGCCAGAAGGCTCGGCACAGGCCTTCCGGCCCTTTGGAGGACAAGGCTATCGCTTGGTGTTGGAAGGCGATGTCAGCAAGCCACCGACACCCCGGATGTCGCCTAGTGACCCGGATGTCAAGGACGAGAAGCACTCTGAGAGGCACTTTCCTGAGACTGGCTTGCCAAATTTTGGAGCCGGTCTTGCTAGCCTTGATTCCTCTGACACTTGACTCGGACAAAAACAGCTCAGAGGAGACTGCTCTGTGGGCTCTGTAGGTTTTAGCCGCTTCCAGTCAGCACTGTTCCTGAGTAGCCGTTCGAACATGTTGTTTCCTGTCACCAGGCCTTTCATCCATGTGGTGTTTCCTTCGTACGGCGCATCGGCATCCAGGCCCAAATCTGATGTTAATGCGTCACAACAAGCTGCATGGTGGCTTCGTCACTGATTGAAGGTTCCAACTGGTGGCCTGCCAGAGGCTCCCTAACTCATTCGAGAGGTAAGCAAGTTCCTGGTAGTGCGATCGGGTTCGGTGGCTTCCATGGTGGCTTCGTCGACATGCAAAGCCTTGCAAACGACGTTTGAGGAACGGCCAATTTTCGGGATTCATTGGCTTTGCCACTTCCAGCGACGCAGAGCATGCCACTCAGCGAGTTTCCTGTGAGAAGGGGTCAGGCTTCTTTCCTGCTCATCAGGATGTGTCTGATGCCATGAGGTCCTGCAGTGCAAAAGTCCCTACGCCGAATGTCGCAGCCATAGCCGGGCAGCGGGTAAGGTGTCAAGCAATACCCAAGTCGAAGAGCATGTGCTGTCACGTTGCAGCGGTTGCAGCGGCTGCAGGCGTTTGAGAAAGCCTTTGACCTTGTGGGAAGGCTGCTTCCTGAGAGCGTCGAGTCGAGTGTCGAATGTGTCGAGAGTCAAGAGTGCAGTTGCCGACAGCTTCCGCACGAAGGTCAAGCTGTGCCATGTGCAGCATTGGAGTATCAGGCAGCTTCTGCACAATAACTAGCCGCCGCGGTGCCGAGAGCTGCGAGCGATGCGCAAGTCGTACATGTTATGTGTTCAAGATGGAACATCCTGATACAGTCTTGTCAAATCATGACGGTATTTGGTCGAACTCTGCAGGGGAGATGTTGCGCTGCAATGCGACAATGTCGGCCTTGCCCGCCAACCAAGAGCAGGGAATGCCAGAAGTACTGCCAGCACAGCGCATCGCGATGATTTTGGCTTGGGCTCCTGCAGACCAGTTGTGCAGCTGTGTCCATGCTCAAATCCACATGTCGCAGGCACAACAGGGCAAAGCCCGCCACCAATTACCTAGCACGCAAGCAACACATCAGACAGTGGACCTTTAGCACCTGCAATGGCTTCGTTCGATCATAGGGCTTTCTGCTGGCAGCCATGGCACGAATTCGACCCTTGCTGGGCGAGGCTGAGGCGGTGATGGGTTGACAGCCGATGCCAAGCTCACAGGCCTTGAGCATGCTTGAGTTGTTGTAGCTTCCGGCTTACATTTGCTGGAAGGGCTCAGGAAGAGTTTTTGCCCGTACCAGGCATGGAGGATGGCCTCCTCCGCACTTTCCATGCCAGCTTGGCTGAGCCAGATCTGGCCCGTCGCAGAGAGGCGCAACCGGTGCTGGCTTGGGCCTTCCCTCGCCTTCCCAAAATCAGGTGGCACTGGCTGCACGCTGCCTCGACCGAAGCAGCCTTGGGTACAAGGGCGTCCATGCCCTTGGTGAGGCAGATTTCGGTTTGCTTCTTTGGAGTGGCGAGGCTGTCATGTGCAGGTCTCCTGGTCGGAAGCAGAGAGCCTCCTCGAGGTTCTGGCTGTAGCATCGATCTTCCGCACGCGCCATCCGCATCCGCACGTTCCCCAGGCTGACGTCTCTTTGCTCCGAGCGCCACTTGGCAGTTTGCCTGGTAGGTCCTGCCGAAATATTCTAGTTACTCTAGATTCTTTGGATGCCGGCGCTCTCATAATGGACATTTCGTGTCCCTATCCAACCTTCCCGGCCTTCCTCAACGGAAGCTGATTAGTTGGTTTACCCATAGGTGAGATGTTTCAGATGATGCCATACCGGAGGCAGCTGGGTGCTTCAGCCATTTGGGATCCAGATCTTTCGGCGAGGCTCAGGCGACTCTGAAAGCACACGGCAGTACGAAGAGTCGCAATGTTTAAGCGATTCGCTTTCAGGCGTTGGGCAGCGGGTGGCACCCGCGCCATAGGAGCAGGGTTGTCGCAGGTGGGATCGTATCATGGCGGTTCTAGCACCCGACGCCGTCAAGTACGAGCATCACTGACAGGTCCGGCTGCCTCTTCTGGGTGGGGTGTTAGAAGCTTCTGGAGCCGTGGAGGGCGATGGCTTGCAGATTCTCACCAACGAGGTGCAGCAATCTTTGGTGGCCTTCTTGTCTGGATGCGGTGCCATGCTACATTACTACATGCCAGTACTTCTTCTAGCATTACTGGTGGCAAGGTATGCAGTCAATATCTCCGATCCATCAGGAAGTTGAACTTGTGTTGCATGCGGTTTCACTGAGAAAGGCGTGGAGCCGGGGAACTTCAGTGGCCCATGCCCCCTGGCCAGGATGTGGGGAAGACGTTGTTCTGTTTGCAGAATCTCTGAATTGAAGGCTCGTGCTTGGACTGACCCGCAAGCTACAGGTTTGGGTCTACCGCTTTCGGCGACCAACTGCAGCTGCAGCACACTTGAGCTACCACCCAGCGCTTGCAGCGGAGTCGTGTGGTTTGCGAGCAGCGCTGCTCTTCAGGTCGGGTTGGGGTAGTGCAGTCGTGGACGCATTGCATAGGTCACACAGGGACGAGATGTTCCTTTGTTCGATAGTGGTCTTGTAGCATCGAGTGCACGCTTGAGCTCGAGCAGGGACCCAGCAACCGGAGCGCATCCAGATGTCAACGAGGTCGTGGAAGTCCAGGTGCCAAAGTTTTAGCTATTGACAGCATGGCGCACTTCGCTGCTTCCTAGTCTTGCCCTCTCTAGGTTTAGGGTTTAGGGTTTCTCTCTC